CACTGGATTAGGGTATTACACCACAACGGTGGACCGAACCAGTATAAACCGCTGTGTCTCTTTGTCTCTTTAAGCTTGACGCGCTAGGCTTAGGAGGGTCGCGAGTAGGCAGGCTGGGTAGGTTGAGATCTCCGCACGCACCCCAGAGTTCGAACCTCTCAAGGGTTTGTGGAATCTGAAATCCGACAGAGATGAACCTGAGTAAACAAGGTTAGATAACACAAGAACATCTACTAGACATAGCAAGAACAAGAGATCACAAGAATACCAAGATTGGGATGACATGTTGAGAGTGAGTACTGGGTACTCTAGTTGGTTATAGACATGTCCCCGAGGATAAAGATATGCAATGAATTCGAAGGATTTTCTTTCCTTAGGTGTCTTTCTCCCTCTGAATCTGACATTGGATATTGGGAGAAGATAGGAAAAGAAAATCAGAGCAAACAAGAAAATCAGAGCAAGATAATCATAACATATACTATCATGTCTTTCCCCTCTTGAATACATGAGACAACTCTCCTCTTAAGAATAACAAGCATTAGGAGAAGCTTTAGGAGTGCATTCTCTCTTATGTGATAAGCTTTGATGTTCTCTCTCTCCCCCTTTGACATCAATTTCCAAGAAGGGACTTCTGGAGCATGAGTCAAGTAGGTTTGGTCCTTGAGTCACATTACAAAGCAACATGTAATAGGATGCTGGTGGGACACAAGTTTAGTGCTCATGGGACAACTCACAACTATGAACAAAACAAAGATATAGACTAACTGTAACAAACTTTTAGTGGTCGCAAACGATTGCGTCCATGAGAGAAAGCTTTTAGACCAAATGGAATAAATTTGTATTGCTCGTGGAGTAAATCACGATGCACGAAACACATATTTAGACTAAGGGGAACATAAATTTGAGTGTTGACGAAACAAAATTATGACCACTAATGAAACAAACTTTAGTTACCAACTTGCAACACAAAAGAAATGGGTCAAGAAAAAGTGAAGAGTTCACATAAATAGGAACATTAATTATTCATTCACAACTACACTACCGACAGGGTACCAAACAACCCTCTACTCTGCTAAACAACATTTCAGTTTCATGACATGGATGAAGCACGCCACATTTTAGATAAAACTGCAACCACTACTTCCTTTTTTCCAAATGATCAGCCCTTATTCCAAGAGTGGTCGTGGCAAATGAGTCGATGCCATCGGTGATTCTCTTATTCGCTGATGATTTCTACCCTTTGGTCCATGATCCTAAAGAAGCACAAGGATAGTAGGTGCATTTGCTCCGAACCACTTCACTGATTTTGAGTACGGGTCTTGTGAGGCAGGAAGTCGAAAGTGTTTTTCGCAACACTAGAAAGCATGGTAGGAAGGTTACTCCATCGTCTGGAGAGGAAGCTGGTTCGGGCAACGTAGTGAACATGGAGTCGGTCGAGAGAGGTGACCAAAATGTCGTCACGCAAGCTGCTTTCTCTATCGTCCCAATTCCTTTCCCTATGGCTCCCGGTAGACCAGGAAAGGTCCAGGAAGTTGGTAACTAAAGTTTAGGAAAGGTCCAGGAAGTTGGTAACTAAAGGTCCACCAATTTCAAACAATTTCTAAACATTAGGAATGTTTTTGGAATTTGTGAAATAAAAACAAAAGGAGAAGAAAGCAAAATCAGGAAAATAACACAAGATAAACAAAATAACTTAAATAGAAAAATAGTAGCGAATTACTAATACAAGAGCTTTCTAGAAAGTTCCTGGAAGCAGTTCGAAACCTTCCAGAAGAAATCTTAAAGTCTCTCATAGTGGTTCGCTAGTGGACAATGATGACCCACAAGTATAGAGGATCAATAGTGGTCCTTTCGATAAGTAAGACTGTCGAACCAAACGAGGAGCAGAAGGAAATGACAAGCGCTTTTCAGCAAGGTAATTTCTGCAAGCACTGAAATTGTCGGTAACAAGTAGTTTGGTAGTAAGATAATTTGTAACGAGCAAGTAATGATAATGGTAAATAAAGTGCAGCAAGGTAGCCCAATCCTTTTGTGGCAAAGGATGGGCCAAAACGTTCTCTTAAATAAGCAAAGCATTCTTGAGGGCACACGAGAATTTCATCTAGTCACTTCCATCATGTTTGGTTTGATTCGCATTCGCTACTTTGATAATTTGATATGTGGGTGGACCGGTGCTTGGGTGTTGTTCTTACTTGAACAAGCCTCCCACTTATGATTAACCCCCTCGCAAGTATCCGCAACTACGAGAAAAGTATTAAGATAAAATCTAACTATAGCATTAAACATATGGATCCAAATCAGTCCCTTACAGAATAGCGCACAAATTAGGGTTTCAGCTTCTGTCACTCTCACAACCCATCATCTAATAACTACTCCCACAATGCATTCTCTTAGGCCCAAAGATGGTGAAATGTCATGTAGTCGACGTTCGCATAACATCACGAAGGGAATCACAACATACATACCATCAGAATATCGAACGAATATCAAATTCACATGATTACTTGCAACATTACTTCTCCCGTGGCCTCAAGAAAAAAAGTAACTACTCACAAATAATACTCATGCTCAAGATCAGAGGGGTATTAAATAGCATAATGGATCTGAACATATAATCTTCCACCAAATAAATCGTATATCAATCAACTACAAAATATAATCAACACTACTAGTCACCCACAGGTACCAATCTGAGGTTCTGGTACAAAGATTGGGCACAAGAGATGAACTAGGGTATTGAGATGAGATGGTGTTGTTGAAGATGTTGATCAAGATTGGCCCCCCAAGGATGAGAGGGTTGTTGGTGATGACGATGGCCCTCAGGGAGGAAAGTTCCCATGGCGGAATCGCTCCACCGGAGGGAAAAAGTGCTCTTGCCCAAGTTCCGCCTTGAGACGGTGGCGCTTCGTCCCGAAAGTCCTCTCCTTATTTTTTTTTCTAGGTCAAAAGACCTTATATACCAGAAGATGGGCACCAGAGGTCGGCTGGGCTGCCCACCACCCACCAGGGCGCGCCTGGCGGGCCTGGCGCGCCATGGTGTCTTGTCGGCACCAGGCATCCCCCCTCTGGTAGTCATTTCCTCCAATATTTATTATATATTTCAAAATAACTCTCCATACAATTTCGGCTCATTTGGAGATGTGCAGAATAGGTATCTTTGACATAGTTTTTTCAGGTCCAGAATTTTAGCTGTCGGTATTCTCCCTCTTTGTGTAAACCTTGCATATTATGAGAGAAAATGTATTAGAATTACTCCATAAAGTGTTATTATGCATAAAAACATTATAAATAACAGTAGGAAAACATGATGCAAAATGGACGTATCAGGCAATCAAACCCTTAATGCTCACAACAAGCGATGCATATCAATAGGCCTCCTACGTTGCACAAATGATAAGCATCACCCTCTGCGAGCACTAGCGCCCCTTCGACTGCCCGAGATTCATAGCGGGCCGGCTCATCATGTGTTTTTACCGACCATTTTCCTGGAGCCATTTTGCGAAGGTTCTGATAGCTTCTCACTCAGTTTTGGGATGCTTCGAGCCTTTTTTTGTTATGTTGTGTTTTTTCTTTTCTTATTTTATTTTATTTTATTTTTAATTTACAAATTCTTAATTCTTTTGAATCCATAAATGTTTTTTGCATATTCATGGACTTAATTGTGCACATTTTATGAGTTCGCCAATATCTTGTGGATCATGCACTTTTTTTGAAAAATGTGAAATATTTTAAGCTTGTGATTCTTTTTGAATTTTCAGATTTTTTGAAACTAGAGAATATTTTTTGAAGTGACAACATTTTGTAATTTGCAAACATTTTTTATTTTTTGTGAACATTTTTTAAATTCTCCAACTTTTTTTCAAAAGTTTGAACTTTTAAAATCCACAAACATTTCGATTCGTGGGACTTGATCACCAAGCTATTCTGATTAGTGGAACTTGGGCTGGGGCCTCTCCGCAGCGAGGCCCAATATCACTATTTTCGCGGCCGGAATCTTTGGCTACAGCGACGTGGTGCCGCATGTTTTCCAATTCCTCGGTTGACCGGTGACTGAGTGCACTCCAGCCATCTCCTCCCCCTTCATAGTGTGAATTCACAATCCTTTCCGCCCTCACCTTCAACATGCGAAGCACCTTACCAAGAAAAGGCTATGTAGACCAAAACCATCTCATCCTCATCCTTTACTTTCCTCAAGGAAGCGTTGATCCTGCTCACCCAAGCTCTTCGCGCCCGTGCTACTCCTCTTTGCCATCACCGTTGCCCCCTTCGTCCATGCCATGTTCGTCCAACCTCTCCTAGACGGCATGGCCGACCAACTTGTCGAGATCAAGATCATCGACCCCTCGATGCCGAGTTCGCAAAGCTCTTGGATATTCATGATTATTCATGAATATTTAGAAAATTGTTCATGTAATTGCATAATTCAAAAATAATGTTGATGGCATATAAAAAATGCACTCTGTTTTTTGAATTAAAAAATATTCACTCCGTTTTACTAATATATAAAATGTAAAATAAAGGAAAATTTTAAAACTGAAAGGAAAAACAGAAAAAATAAAAGATAAAGTGGATGGAAGATTCCTAAAGCCGCTCCAGAAAGGTTTCCAAACCGGTTTCTAAAAACCGTGGATAAATTGTTGAGCCGGCCCGTTTCGCGCAAGATTGAAGGCCGATTGACAGACATACTGCTTTTCCGCTACGAACGGGCCTTACACTGTTATATGTAGAAAAAATGGATCCTCAAAAAAAATGTTATATCAAAAAACAAAAAAAAACGAACGGGTGGGACACCGCACCCACCGGCCGGCGGCGAAACTTCCGTTGATTCTTTGGACGGATTTTTCCAAGTCTTCCATGGACACAACGACGCGCGGTGCCGTTACTTCTCCAATTTCTTAATTGACCGGTGAGCACACACCAGCCATTTCCTCCCCCAACTGCAAACCTCCTCCACAGCGTTAGGCAGCTCATCCTCGACCTTCAAAGCACCTTGCTAAGCCATGGCTGCCAAAATCACCGCATGCTTTACTTTCCTGAAGGAAGCTCTGATCCTCCCCACGCTAAACCCCAAGCTCTTCGCGCCCGTGCTCGTCCTCTTTGCCGTCACCGCCTTCCTTGACCCCTTGGTCCATGTCGTGTTCGTCCACCCTCTCGCCGATGGCATGGCCAGCCGTCTCAGCGAGATCAACAGCACGGACCCCTCGAGCGCCGAGTACGCCAAGCTCATCGAGAAGCTCACGGAGACGGAGGAGATGAAGCAGGTTGGTAAGAGGATGGTCCGCATCACCATCGCCAAGTTTACCGTCGGTCCGGCGCTCGGCCTCGTCAAGCAGATCCTCGCCCTCTTCGCGGCCTCCACGACCTACTCCGGCGACCGCTACTCCCTGGCGGGCCTCCTGCGCGAGCTGGTCACCGGGAGGATCAGCCTGAAGGGCCCTTCCATTACCATCGCCGTCGTCGGCGCGCTTGACTTCACAGGGGCAGTCCTGGCCGCGCTGATGGGCAGCCGTTCGGGGGTGCTCTCCGTCCAGGGTCTGGTCTCCCTCATCGCGCACCTTGCCTCCCTCTGCCTCACCGTCATCGCGCTGGTGGGCGTCGCAGCATCGGTGGCAGACAGCAGGAAGTGCCGCGGCGTGCGCGCGCTCCGGCAGGCGTGGCGGCTCGTGACGCGGGTGAGGCGGAAGGAGGGCCTCGTGCTGGTGCTCGTGGCATATCTCGGGCCTACCGTTGTGGCTCCGTTACACAGGTTCGCTCTTGGGTATGCCAAGAGGAGCATGGCGGCGTGCTTGTGCTTGATGGCCGTGTATGCTCTTCTGTCTGGCGCGCAGCAGCTATTCTCCTTGGCGGCAGCCACGGTGTACTACTACCAAGCCATGGAGAGCAAGGAGGTGATCGATGACTTGTGGTTATGCTAAGATTAGATTCCTACCGGGGAAGGATACGCACGACTCCTGCTAGCTCTAGAGACATGAGTTGATTTCTCGTGTGATAATAGAATATATGTGGGATTATATTTGTACTCTTGCTAAGTCTCGGCCGAGTCTCAGTCGATGCTATATCCGTGCGATCTTTTCGTTTTTTTCTTTTTCTCTGTTGCATGTTATGTTACTTAACAGGGACTTGGTTAACTCTCAGTCGACTAAGATCTAGCCACACTCTTATATTTGAGTATGTGACAGGTGGTGATACACTTTATACTTATCCTCTTGGGTTATGTTTGATAAAAGCGATATTGTTTTTTTATTTGACAATCGCCTAGGAGAGAGGATCCCACCTGAATATTTATTAAGAGATATTAAAATTGTGTACTCTTCCAACTACCTCATGCCCTTAACGTTTGTAGCCATCAGATATTCAAGTTTGGACGTTTTTGGCTGTCTCATTTGCTCTAATTCCCATGCCTCGTCGCGGTGGCGGAGCTACACTACTACATCTGGGCGGGCCATCAGAAAGAAACCTACTACGTTTGCACTCAAGGCGAGTATACACACTAATTCGCTCACTGTATTTGCCATCGTCTGGACGTGTCATGCCGCTTTTCGGTAACACATAGCTCCACCAGTGCTCATCGCTTCATTCGCAATAATTCAATGGTGGGCCACTGCTCCGACGATAATTCAGCCTCCTGACATGAAATTGGACTTGGTAGGCTATGATGGCTCTTCATTGATTTGCATTCCAAAAAACCCTAAAGACTCACGTCTCCTCATCAGAAAAAAATAACCTAAAGACTCACATGACCCTCCTTTCGCGCGGATGGATGCAGCAGGCCGAAGTTGGCCGGCGAGACTCTGATGGCGACCGCGCTTGGGGTTCGATCGAGACTGGGCGCCTCTGTTGGCTTGCCATTGTGACCCTCACCCCTCCTCTGACGAGGACATCCCAGTACCTCATAGTGTTCCCATGAAGGAAGAGGTAAAGCCCAACTTAAGGACTCCTTCAAGTTAGACGTGTGCCAAAGGGGGTGACCGAACCATGTACTTGGTTGGTTGCAGTTTTATCTATTTTTATTTTCAGGTTATGTTATGGGTCATTTAGGATTTTATTTTGTGTGTTTTGGTGTGGATCTGTTCAACCGACTAGTTTTCTAGATGCCTATATAAGGAGGCCGGTGGCTAGGTTTAGAGGGGGATATTCTAGATTGAGTTTTGAACATTGTGTTCACGTGGTGAATCATCCCTCCGGGGATGACACTGCTAGTTATCAAATAAAGTGATGATTGCGTGAAGGTTTTTGTGTGATCAAGGATTATGTGCTAAGGTTAGAGCATCTCCAGCCGCGCCCCCAGGACGGCCTCCCCAGGCGATTTATTTGCGCCGGCGTCGAAAAAATGGCCCAGTCGCGCCCCCAGGACGCCGAATTCTGCCGGCTCGGCCCGTTTCTGCGCCCGGCGCTCGCAGGCCGAACCCGGCGCACTGGGGGCGCTCGGGGGCTTCGGCGCAAGGGAAAAGTGTTCCTGGGGCCACATTGACAGGCGAAAAGTCAATCCACCCGCCCAGATTCGCCCTCCTGCCCCCCGCGCTCGGCCGCCACCCTGCGCCACCCTGCCGATCTCGACGTCGACCACCACCCGCCGCAGCTAGGTAGACCGTCTCCAGCCGGGAAAAGACGGAGCGTCGCCGAGGCAGCCTCTTCGCCGCCACCCCGGGCACCTTTTTCGGCGCTCCGGTTGCGCAGGGCCTGTACGCCGGCGGGCTTGCACCCATCTCGCCCACAAGGTGTTCGGTGAATTGCCCAGCCCGGCGATGGACTCCGAAGATGAGGAGGCGCTCGCGGCGTTGCTGGATGAGGAAGCCGAAGTCGACGTCCAGGAGCAGGAGCATCTCATGGTGCTTGCCGCCCTCGCCGGCCTGCTTGCGAGCAGTAAGAAGCCGCGGCGAGGTGGCTCGGCACTTGGGCGGGTGAAAGAAAAGAACCGGCATCGTCTGGAAGGCTACTGTATGCTCTACTTGGACTACTTCGCCAACGCTCCATTGCACGGTGATAAAACATTTCGGCGCCGTTATCGGATGAGCCGAAAGCTTTTCCTTCGGATTGTGAATTCCATCTGGGAGTTCGACAGCTACTTCAAGTGCAAGAAGGATTGCACCGGCACACTTGGATTCACCTCGATCCAGAAGTGCACGACATCTATGAGGATGCTTGCATACGGAGCTCCCGGTGATTCACTCAACGACTATGGGCGCATGGCCGAGTCCACCACCATTGAATGTTTCTACAAGTTCTGCAGGGCAGTGGTGGTAGTGTTTGGACCGCAGTACTTGCGAACACCCAATGCGGAAGACACTGCTCGGATCCTAGCACAGAATGAAGCAAGAGGATTTCCTGCGATGCTTGGAAGCATCGACTGCATGCATTGGAAATGGAAGAACTGTCCATTTGCTTGGCAGGGGTTGTACAAAGGCGCCAAAGATGGTTGCAGACTTGCAGTGTGGTGCTTGAGGCAGTGGCCACACAAGACCTCTGGATTTGGCACTCTTTCTTTGGGATGCCAGGAATTCACAATGACATCAACGTCTTGCAGTGCTCCCCAGTCTTTGCCAAGCTTGTTGAAGGTCATTCTCCTCCGGTGAACTTCGAGGTCAATGGACGGCAGTACAACAGGGGGTACTATCTAGCTGATGGCATCTATCCGAGATGGTCGACATTTGTGAAGACCATCTCAAACCCCGTGCCAGGAGGCAAGAACGCCTGGTTTGCGAAGATTCAGGAGGCTTGCAGGAAGTATGTCAAGCGGGCATTTGGTGTGCTCCAATCTCGATTTGTTGTTGTCCGGTTCCCTGCTCAGAACTAATCGACAGATCGAATGTGAGAGATCATGACTTGTCGTGTCATCTTGCACAACATGATCATTGAGAGCGAGCAGGAAGAGCCAGTGTTTGACACTGAACCATACCACAGGCAGGGTCCTCTTGCCCAAGTTGATCATCAGCTACCGGCAAACTGGACTGACTACCTTAATATGCGTCAGGAGATCCGAGACCCACAAGTGCATCAAGAACTGCAACACGATCTGGTGGAGCACCTATGGAGGCTCAAGGGTGAGGCCGGGAATGGCATGTGATGAAACTTGAGTTTTTATTTGTTAAACGATATAATTTGTAGTGAACTATTTGATTTATGTGATGAAACACGCTGAAACACGCCGAACTATGTGAGGAGCTAATTGATTCCTATTTGTTTGCGAAAATTCACGCCGAAACCCGCGAACCGCGCCGAATATGGCCGATTCACGCAGTTATCAGACCATTTTTGACATATTTGGGCCGAAAGCTGGGCTGAATTCGGCGCCTGGGGCGACCTGGGGGTGACGGTTGGGTGCCGAACCGCCCCCAGCGCCGAGTTTATCGCCGGCGCACCCCCAGGACGCTCTTTTTCGGTGCCCTGGGGGGACGAACGGCTGGAGATGCTCTTAGAGGTGTGGTGTTCATCTCCACGTTGCTTGCTAGATTCGTTTCCTCAACTTCAGGTTGCGTGGATTGCTCCCGTGATTAGAAGGTTAGCTATCTAGTTGTCTTTGTGGTGAAGGATTGGGCAAAAACTGTAGGATCATCAGGTTGATCCTTATCACCCTCTCTGGCCTTGTCGTGGTAGCCTTATTTACTCCTTGCCTCGTGGTTCACTTGACTCTACCGCGGCCAAATCCTCATGCAGTATTTGGCTTCGGCCCACTGCTTCAGCGCTTCCCTCTACCTCTCTCTCATAGACGCCTTGCCAAGGCCGATGACATGGCCAGGCGAGGGAGACGGTGCGTGCGAGATCGCTGTAGCTAGATCCAAGAACAACAACAACCTCACACAATACCTCGTTGCTGGTAGGTGTGAATTCATGAAGCAAGGAAACTGACCTTCGGTGAGGCGATCGGGGGAGGAGAAGACCAACATAATGGTTTCCGAATGAAAGGTCCAAGGTGAGGCTCCCCGCCGCCAATTTGTTTACGTGTCACAAATTTCCCATGGATGACTGTGGGAGTCTTGATTATGTAGTATTGGGTTCATAGGAATAAGTTTAGAAAATGCTTAGTTTTCCAATTTAGTTTTTTTAATGCAAAGTTTTTTTGAAAAGACAAACAATTTTGAAAATGCAAAAAAAGTTGAAAACAAAATAAAATTTTAAAAAATTATATGTGAAAAGACTTGAACATTTTTGAAAATACAAAGATTTTTTCCAGATGTGCAAACATTTTTCAAAAAGGGAACAATTTTCAAATTTGTTATTTTTTGAAAAATTGATTTTTCTTCAGAATTGGTTTTTTGAACTTTTAATAAATTATGGAATTAGTAAACTTATTTGATTTTCAATAACTTTTCGAAAATCCAAACCTTTTTGTAATTCCTAAATATTTTTGAATTTGTAATTAAAAAAGAAAAATTTCTTGAAATTCTGATTAATAATTGAAAAAACGATTTTTTTTTTCTTTCAAAATCCATTCTTTTTCATAACGTGTTTTTTTTACAATTCCTAGCAATTTTGATATTTCTAAACTCGTTCTAAGAGGGAACTATTTTGAAGTAGAAATAAGAAAAAAGAAACCGGAAAAGACAAAAATGGCACATGAACTTGTCAAGACCTTTACCCTTATAGAAGGTTCCCATAACCGGAGCCAGCATCCAATTTTCCTTGCAAATGGGCTCGCCCAGCTCGGCCGGTCCGACGACGATGCAGGAACGCCCGATTCCCTGGATTGGTGAGTCTTGGGCTAGCCTATATTCCTATATCATCATTGTCCTTGTTGCCAGATTCTTCTCTGGAATGAAGTGCTTACCGTGGACCGATTATTCCCTCGTGTGGTGGCCAAAGCTGGCTGGCGAGACTGTCATGGCGACCGAGACTGGGCACCTCTGTTGGCTCGCCATTTTGACTGTCACCCCTCCCTCCCCGGCCATGTCGTGGTCACCTTCTTCCCTCCTTGCCT